TAAAACTACAGGCACCATTCCAGTAACACAAAAACATATTGACCAATTTTGTTAAGGTATAAACCATTAGAACCTTAGGTATAAACAATTAGAACCTTTTCATTAAAATCTTTTTAATGGATGCAATGTTGGTTACCAAGATAGAAATAAAATATTGCTGCCGGGGAATTCATCCAGAGCAACCAGATATTTTAAATGAGGCGTTACTGGGGTATAATACAATTTTAACAGAACATTCTTTGATTTTAACTTAACGCTTTTATAAACCGTATTATGATACTTAAGTCTTTTTAATTTCTTCCCCAAAGTGTCTAGAAGTATGTTTCTCGAAAAGAGTAGGGGTGTAACCCTGGTGTCCTGGCCAAATTTCCCATTGGCCCTTACCAATCATGGCCTCCTAATAATCCCCCTCTATGAATTGGCTTCATTACTCTGCTCTCCTCCCCACTGATAGCTGATGTGTGGGGAGCGTTCTGGCGCACTATGGCTGCCGTCGCATCATCCAGGTGGGGCTGCACACTGTTGGTGGTGGAGGGGAGACCCCATTACCTGTAAAGCGCTTTGAGTGGAAAAAAGTGTCCAGAAAAGCGCTATATAAGTGTAAGCGATTATTATTATAATTATTATTATTAAGTAGGTGTCTGATATACTGTATGAACATAAACACTTCAGTCTTTTTCATATGTACCCTCTTCGATCTCACCATTTCCCATTTTGGATTTAGACTTCATAATATGTTTTGCTACCTGCATGCAACACACTGCACTTGTGCAGTAAACTAATTAAACAACACCTTCCTTGTTTTCCTGCTCAGTCTTGAATTTAATCTGTCTGTTACACCCAGGCTAGGAGCAGCTTGCGTCCTGGTGTTGCTCCTAGCAACATGAGCAGTCGCATGTGGTCTCAGCCCTCAATCCAATCCCAAGCAAACACATTCGGAAAGACATTTTTACCACCAGTAATTTATCAGTCAGGTGCATCCCAATCATCTAAGTGAGCACTATTTTTAAGGATAACTCCGTGTCTGTTTAGTGCTCTGCATTGATTTAAACTCTCCCTTATTCTATTCAGTACTGAAGCTCTCCTTTCCTCTTCCACAGCCACCAAGGGCAATGAAAAGGTGAGGAAGCTTCTTCGTTTTCCAAGTCTTTTTCCAGGTCGGCTTTTCTTCTCCTCTACATCAGCTGTCGTCTTCACATTAACTACTGTCTTCTCTCACTGTAGTTCAGCCCGACGGGCTTTCACACAGGGAGCTGAACTTATCGGGCAGCTCCATTATTATTTATTATAGCAGGTGGCCCTCACTCCTCCGAATTCTTTCGCTTGGGGCTCGGCTTGCCGTTCCTCACGGCCCCTGTACACCTTGCACATCTTGATGAATTTCATTTGCTGCATGGTGGAATAGTGGTTAGCAGCAGTTCCGGACCTGGGGTGCTCTCAACATGGAGTTTGCATGTTGTCCCCATATATGTGATGGGGTTTCCTGCAGGTGCTCCAGTTTCCTCCCTTGGTCCAAATATATAATGGAAAGTTAATTGGCTTCTGGAAAATTGGCCTTGTTGTGAGTGTTTGTTAGTGTCTGTGTGTGCCATGTGATGGACTGGCCACCTGACCAGGGTATATACTACCTGGTGCCCGTTGCTTGCTGGGACATACTCCAGTTCCCCTGCAACACTGTGTTGGATAAAGCAGATAGAAACTGAATGGATTCTCTGCTCCCTGTAGTGTTTGAGATCTCCTAATTTGGTATAATATGTAATTGTTTCTAATGTACTAACAATACCAGATTCTAGACTATAAATTAAGAAGAATGGTGGTCCTAATACAGATCCCTGCTGTAGTCTACTAATTACATCACCCCAATTTGACTTTTTAATCTGTATATTTATTATAGACTAGTTCTCAACCGAAACACTCAATGTTTCCTGAATGCCTTTTCTACTGTGAGAAACTATATTAAAAGCCTTTTGAAAATCTAAATATACTGTACCATATCATACTGTATGTTCTGTGTTTATTCATTATTGTTGCTGTTTGTTGAAAAACTTCTAACCAGCTGTAAGGCAAAACCTAACTTTTCTAAATCCAAAATTCCCTGTGATAGAAAAGCCAATATTCTCTACAAGATTATATACTTTGTGGTGTTTCTCCTTCGCAGAGACCTGAATGTCAATCAGGATAGTGCCCATTCCATCCAGAATCTGAAAGTCCTGAGTCTTAACCATTATGTTATGTTGCTATCCTGTTGGTACCTTGGTGACCCAAACAACTGTACTGCAGGGAATGCCATCCTTCAAATGAAGCACTAAACCAAAGTCCTGACATTTTAGTCAATAAAGATCCCGTGGCACTTTTCAAAGGAGTAGGGAATACTACAATATCCTGGCTCAATTCCATTCTTAGGTGTGCAAAAGTACCCCATTGGTGAAGTGCACTGCAATGTTGAATGATCTGGCTCCCATCCTGGAAAAGCACTTTGAGATCCTTAAGGCTGACAAGTTCTCTACTGTAGAAATGTAGTGAAGTAGAGTATTATTATGGTTAGAGTCTAGATGTCACAGGTTTAAGTCTGACCTGTATCATTAGCTGCCTGAGGAAAGAATGTGCTCTTTAGGATAGGTAATGCTGAGGCTGGATGGGCTAGAGCTGCCAAAAGTTTCCTTTGCGTGTCACACAACAGTGACTCTTGGTACCTGCTAGGTGTCTGTTCCTCTCTTTCTCTGCAGTCTATACCCAAGGGCAATGACTACTCTTATTATACTCTTATGACTACTCTTATTATAATTTTCAGTGGTGTTGGTTATGTTAAGTATGGTAACATATGGTATGCTGACGACTGTATGATTTCTGAGAGGCAAACCCTTCTGCAAAGGTCAAGGAGAGCTATGGTCCCTGCTGGAAATCAGCTTGACCGGATCATAATGAACACAGCAGCAAGTCCTGTTGTAGCCAGTATTTCAGGTTTCTCAGATGGAAGTTATTGAACTGGTATAATTACTGAATAGCAAAGGTTAACGATTCAGGTTTAATAACCATAAACAAGAGCAATGAGAGTCTTGTTTTTAAGGCAGATTAGGACAGGCAATCCTGGTCCTGGAGGGCCAGTGTATCTGGAGGTATTCATTCCAACTAAGCAATTAATGACCTCATTAGTCAGTTCATTACTGTCTCACTGGGACTAATTCCGCAATTCAGGTGCTGGTGCATCAAATAGACCTAAAAAACAAGACGTACTGACCCTGCAGGACCAGGATTGCTCATCCTCAACTTATGATAATGCCTGATTTTGACATATTGCCACTCCCACAGGTGACTGAAAGCTGATGAAGTCATGCTTATTTAATTGTTGATCTCTTACTTACCAGACTAGTAAAGTTTGTCACATTGTTTCCTAGAAGAGTAAAGTGAATTGATTGAGAGAGCTAAGCTGATGTTGATCAATGCTGATCTTTGCTTCATTATCAGCACTTTTTGGGCCAAATTACTTATATTCAGTCTGAAATCCCTAAATGAATTAACAACAGAGGAGATCAGCAGCTGAGGGCCCTCTTCAGTTTGATCATCCAATCCACAGTCATCTACATCCTGTATATCACATACATGTAAGCCTGTTTACACACACAAAGACCTAGGAAATGAACTGAATAGTTAAATCAGTGATTTTCTGTGGAAACCTGCCTGCACCAGGCCAAGGTGAGTAACCCCACATGTTAATCCTTCAACACAGCACAGGGATGAGAACATGGAGTTCTCTAGCTCTGGAAAACCTCTATAGCAAAGGATAATCTTACAGATGTGATGGATTACATTTTAATTAGTTGGGAATGAGTCAGACTGGGGTTAGGATCGACAGTGAAATTCAGTAACATTTAAAACAGAACGGAATCCAAACAAGATCTGCAAGGGAGATACGTGTGGAGTGGAGACAGGACTGAAGGGAAAAACAAAACAGCAAGAGCTACAGTAAAAGTAAGGAATAACAGGAACAAAGCACAAGAAATCTAAACTACTATGTTAGTAATTGTGAGCCGTAATCATTGAAGCTTTGCAATGTGGCAGTGATTGTGACAGATTATGTACAGTACAACTATACTACCTCAACAGGTAATGTAGTTCCAGTAGGTGGCTGTGTCAGCATGTGTAGACTACAAAGGATCAAGTAAAGGTTTATCCCATGCTGAAGATACCTGAAGAAGGCCCCACCGCTGGAATGTTGTGTTTCTTTCTTTCTCTTTTCAGCATTTACTTGTACCTTTGTAGGTAATATATACTTTATTAAATATATAGAATTTAAAAGACGCAGAGTGGGACAAAAGATAGTGTACTTCATGTACTTAAAGCACAGAATGCATCTTAACTATCAGCACTTAAGAAATGAAACCGAGCTAGATATTTAATGTTTTCATGTGTTTTTTTTATGTAAATATCCATAGAGGACTTTAACATGCTTCAACATGGTGTGACTTCGGAACTGATTATAAGTAGAAATGGAAAAACCTTGAGTGTTAATTAACAAACCATTTCCCCAAAAGTCCCAAAATTGAGATGTGAGAAGTGTCACCTTTGGAAACCTTCGCCAACAAGGGACCAATTTAAATATTTAGAAGCCTTGTAATAGACTTAATTGCTTTATTTCCCTGTGGTTGAGTGGAGCTTCTAAAATATTTATGAACAATTAGCCTTAATTAAACCTTTTGTGCATTAGAACAATTGGGGCTGCCTTTTAAAACCTCATTAGTTGTTCTGTAAGCAGTTTTTTCTTGCAGTACTTTCCCATTTTAATATTATAATGTGGAAAAATATTATTGTTTAAGCTTCAAGCCATTTTTGTCATAATTCCCAAACGGCACATTGTTTAAACCAACAACACTGGTTGACCCGTATGTCTGTTATTGCAATAACATTTTATTTTGAAATTTTATGTTGAATGTCTGCTACAAATACTGTAACATTTGTTAAAGTTTTGGAAATTACCTTTATTTTAATTCTAAAATTGACTGCTTGTTTTGTGTTTATTTTCATCCCACGTGGAGTTCACTATTTGTGGAGTTTGGAACAGTAAATAAAAACAGAATGAGAGTCAATGGGAAGTCAGAATATGAGATTATCAGGAGAAATTCAGACTTTCTAAAAGAAAGACTTACTGTAATTATTTTATTTTGCTTTTTAGTGTGCGGTTGATGTCATTCCAATGTCTTTTTATTTAAAAAAAAGATTGTTAACAAGATAGTTATAGTTAGCTTTGATAAATATCTTTTTTTCCTGAATAATTTTGTTTAGATAATATTTAGCAAATAAATGTCATGCAGTCTATCAGCATAGCAGAATCACAATCAGCATCAAACACCCTTATCCTGTCATTTCAAGAACTTTCATTCTGATTAATATTAAAGCCAGATTCAATTAAGTAGCAGTACCATATTGAAAAGTTAAGAAAAAGCTCCATAGTCCCTTACACAAGTAACTTGTAATTGTGCAAGATACCATATCAAAAGTAAGTTTTAACAGACTATAAAGCATTTTTGTGCTGACTCCCTAATCCAAGACCAGTTCCTTTGCATACAGTAAATTGCCTTCTAAGACATAATAAGAATTATAACTGCCCAGTACAAAAAACAGAAACTGTTCTTAAGTTTCTTCTCCCAAAAGCCAGAATGTTCGAACCAAGCCCTTTCCCTGTGAAATAATACACAAACAAAACTGTTAAAAAAGATACTATCAGCACATTCCAGAAAGTCCTTTACCAAGTGTTTGGATGCTAAATTCAGTTCATTGCTTCAGTTGAGAACTTCCTTGTACTCACAGCAAACATTTAACCACAATTTCATATTTTTGCATGCAGACCTTGGCTTTCAAATCATATTATTTTCAGGACATTCTGTACTTTACATCATGACACCAAAGAAAAGCAATGTTAAGACTCGCAATGCTCAATATCTATTTAGATGAAAAGATGTGGAGTAACATAAAAAATTAAAAGTTTGAAACAAAAACACAAAATGTCCTTTTTAATTATTGAAATATGTTAACAATGTTAAGAACACAGAGCACAGTAACATATGTTACCAGAATACAGTCTAATATGCATTATATTAACTTGACTACTTTTAAATTTTGCCATGGGAGATGCCCTATTGTCTAATCTCTTAGTGACTGACCTCTGCATTAAACCTCACAAAGTTCCCACTCTGTCAAACTAGTTTGAAATTACTGATACTGATGCCTCCTCCTTGGGTGAATAAAAGGATACAAAACAAAGCTTACCTTCATATGGATATCCCCTCGTAGCTCAAACCGAAATGTTCTAAATTTATCTAGCAGATCTTTCGCTGAGCTGCTGACGTGAACTTTCAAGGCTAGGCAGTAAAAATAATCAAATATCAAAAGTGAGATTTGTTATGTGACAAAAACATAAAATTTCCTAGACATTAGATGACAATATCTGGCCAGAATAAACTAGCAGAGGCCTGAGTCCCAGCCACTAGTTTTCAAAACAAAGTGGATTATGTATGCTATTGTGGGCTTGTCCAAAATCAAAAACTACTTTTATCTCCAGTATAAAAAATACCACATACAGTATATCTAAAAAACTACCTTCAAATGACACATATGTTCTTCCTAAATGTTATTATATAAGCCCAATTGTTTAGAACAGTGAAATTGTCTGTTCAGGACTGAATCTTCAGTTGTATAGATTATGAAGATAATTCCATTTTGAAACTGACAGCACTTTTAAGACTCCATGAAATATGTTAAAATACTACACATTAAGTTCCCACAAGGAGCCAACAACCTGAGAGCATATAAAAACACTGTAAATCATAGGCAAGGGTAAATGTTTTAAAATATGATAAATGATAAGCAGAGGCTTACGTAAACCATAGGACTCCATACGAGAGGCAGTGTTGACGGTGTCCCCAAAAAGACAATAACGAGGCATTTTTAATCCCACTACTCCAGCTACACAGGGGCCTGACAGAGAGATGATGCTGTATTTATTAAATATTTCACATGAGTCATTGATCTAAATACAGCTCATTAAAGATTCTCACAGAACACAGAATCACAAAGAGATAGACAAGATTGACAAGGATGCATAGACAAGCTTAATACTCTATATGCTTGATCTTACTGGTCCTTTCCCTGTACTCGGACTTTGTACTGTACGGTATATAACTGCACTCTCATGTTGTGTTCTTTTGATTTTAGGTGTTGTACTTCCCAATTACTCCATCCCAAAACAGGCACAACTGGCAAAATATAAAGTCGAGTGAACCTTAGGATCACGTTTTTTTTGTTTTTGGAGCAAAAGCTATTTGCTGCATTATACAGTAATTAAAATATTTACAGTATGAAGAAAGTGGAAGGTTGTGTACTTTTGTCAACTAAGCAATCTTGCTTTTATAAAATATACCTACTTTTTAATCAGTTTAATGTTTAACATGCTGTAATACACAGTTTAAAATTATTAAAAGTCTAAACAGTATACAATTTAAATTCTGTAATTGGTAAAAGATCGTCCCTCAGCATTGATCGGGATTCAAAACTGGGCGTTTTCTGCCAACAGCCCAAATGTTGCTCATGAAATGTTAAGATGAACTCAGCTAAGCCCAGCTCCACCTGGTGGTATTACAAGGTATTTCACACTATTTTTAAAACACTTGCGGTACTTTGCAGTTTGTTGCGGAACGTCCACTGCGTTGTAGCGCAGCATACCTTGCACATTTGAATGGCTGGATCTGTACATTTCAGAATTCTCTCTTTAAATGACAGTAGAGAACTGACATACTATAGCACAGAAAAACTCAGGGATGATTTTCCCAAGATGTTCTGTACTTGTATACAATAATACAGTACCTCTTCTTTCATCCTGGTTCTTACCTGAATGCAGTCCTATTCGAACCTTTAGCTGCTGGCCTGGTACATGTCTGTTTTCAAATTTTTTCATCGCGTCCACTATTGATAAGGACATCCTTGCAATTTCTTTGGCATGCTCATCCCCGTTTCTTATGGGGAGCCCAGAAACAACCATATAGGCATCACCTATGGTTTCCACCTTCAGAGAATAAGACCAAAACAAGGAACAAATAAACAAACACTGGCTGAACTTATGAAAATCAGTTAAACTACCAGAAACATCTTTGCATTTTACTTAGAGTACTAAGCAATGAACTATAGTGATAGTGTTTATATCTAAATTAACTGTATTCTGTATTAATTCAAAAGGGGAAATGTTAGATGATTTAGACCACGATGTGTATGCTGACAAATAAAAAAAAACACAACAGCGAGATACTGTAGATAAGCCATGGGAGGCGTTGATGATAAAGGGTTTTTTAGGAACGTTGAACCCCATTTAAAATCTGACAAAACAAAAGAAGATGCATGTGGGGAGAAAGCTTACCCCAAATTTGAGAAAATGTCACTCTTACCTTGTAAACATCATGATTGTCAATGATATTGTCAAAGTATGTATACAAGTCATTCAGCAAATCAACAACCTAGAACAAAACATTCAATAATCAACACCATGCTTTTTTGCCTTTGTAACTGGAGACTCCAAAACCCATAAATTTGGCAAGATCATTTTTATTCAATTTAGCAAGGTCCTAGCACCAGCTGGCCAATACTGAAGGAATAAAGACAACATTTGGCCTGACAGTGTGTGGAAGATGAAAGGTTACTATGATGTCATACCCTAAAACTCCCAATACTATTGAAGCCACCTGCAATCCAAGGATTTGGCACAACAGATTTCACCATTGTTGGCTGGTGAGTGAGGGTCTGTGTGTCAGCATGGAGCAATGTCTCGATTGAATCCCATTTGTGATTATTCTGCAGATGTCACAACTCAGAAATCATCAATTGGTCTCGTATGTGAAAGGAGAACTGATGCAGTCCTCTAAAACTGCATCACACACTCGGAAGAACCTGACTATAGGTATTTTAATGAGTCTGGTGGCCCATATTCACATTTCCGTTGTCTCTGTGGAGCTCTGACCATATGATCTTTGAGGCTGCTTTCTTCAAGGTCTTCTACAGGTTCCCTAAGACCAAAAGCAGCTTTTGAATTGAGAGTAAGGTTCAACTGGTTCAATTAAGAACACAGGGCTTTTAATTAGGCTGTTTAGAGGTGAGTGACAGAAAAAGTAGAAGGCAAAGTTATCAACCAGCCTGAGAGCTTTGAATTCTAAGTAGAGGAGATTTTAAAGGAGACTTTTACAGCTGCACAAAATATATCCATGCACACATGCTACATCATTGAAAACTTAATTATAATGATTAGAAAGTCTTAGAATAGGTTCTTACCTGCATTGGGGTAATGCCTGCAGACATGGCAGTAAATCCTACAATGTCACTAAAATATATAGTGACACAGTCATAAGTTTCAGCTTGCACTGTCTTCCCAGAAATGAGCTGGATGGCTACAGATCTAGAAATAAACAAGGCAACCGATACTGTAGTATAAATGCTCAAAACTTAGATAGTCAAATGTTCAAACCAAAATTGTCCAAAATATTATGTTCCCAAATGGCAATAACCTGATTGACCAATTATTTACATTCAATGGAGCTCTGTTGAATCAGGGAGCGGATCTAATGGTGATAAATGACTCAATGTTAGGTTTCAATGCAAAAAAAGTGTTGCTCAACATCATTCAATCTTATCAATACAGATTTTGCCTTCATTCACTTTTGAATATCAATTAAGCTGAACAATGCATGTACACTGCTGTGTAAAAAGCTTTACTGTAGAAGTTACAGTGTATGGTAGAATATGCTCAAACCAGAAACTATTGGGCACTAAGAATTTGGGCTTGGGGAAACTATTATTTGTAATCCTTACAAGATGGGACACAGGTGGGCTTCTTTAAAGAAATAAAGGCACTGTCTCTAGTAGCAGCAGTTTGGCAACGCATCCCACCAGAAGGCACCACTCATGCTAACTTGTGCTCCACCTCCAGGAAGGTCTATAAATAGAAGACTTTGCAAAAAATGAGTCTTGACAGCATGCTTTGTTACATTGCACAGTGATAGGTTTTCTGTTTCAGTTCAACATGAGAGGCTAGTATTTTTTTGTACTTTTAACTTCTTGAAAAGCTCCCTTAAACAAAAGTTTATCTTGATTGTTGTTGAAAAAAATAACTGAAACAAATGGTTTTGCCACAATTTGTATTAGGATCAACAATTTACTCAATGTCCACTGCTGTTTTAACTATTATAATGTACATTGACTGTTAATAGTACAGTTTAGTAAGCCATCACATTTACGGTCCATCCACTGTCACAGCACCAGTTATTCCTGGTGGGGGTCATGGTCCAAAGTCTATCCTGGAAGTAGGGTTCAAGTTGGTAACAACTTACAAGCTGAATCTAATTGTTCCATTGTAAGGTGTTTCTAAACATCAAAAAGGTGTTCCTCCATTCACATTCTAATACTATAAGACTACTTTTTGTTCCCCAAAATACAGATCTGTAAGAACAATTGCTGATATTTCTCCAGAAGGTCATGAGCAGGCTGTGTTCCTGCAAATAAAGCCAGAAAACTAACGAGTTAAGAGAACAATACAAAATGGCTTAGACCTTTCAGCAGCGGTCTATGTTTATAAAGGCTTTGCATTGCAACTTTATCTAATGTTCCCTCTGGATAAAGTACTGTAGAATAATGATTCCTTCTGGTACGTTCTGTGCTTCACCTAACCTCATTGTCCTAGCTGAAACCCGCTGTGTGATTATGTATTGTTCAAACTAGTGCTTCAGTCAATAATTTAATTATGAGCAATCTTATTTGCAATAAAAAAATCACTCTCACCTTGGCAAACAGGGTCTCATTGAATTACTATAGAATAATAGTAGACCTAGAATAGTAGACAGACCACAGACCTGTTGTGCCCACTAGCTATCTGGTGTTGCTGGAATTTGATTTTTTACCTTAGATCCCTGGAACCTTTTCCCCATTGTGGACATCTATACCAGGCACCTTTATTTTATTTATACCCTTGGACATATTAGTGCTGCTTTTTCTCAACTGCTTTTAACCAAACACTGTGTATCACTGATAGTATTGGTAAATATTTAGCCAGCTATATACAGTAGTTGTATGCAATCAGCTTCTTTAATATACTGTGCAGTACATGGAATGGTAATATCCCATGATACTTTTCAAAAGTGTAGTGGTATGAAACATGGTGTCCAGATTAAATTCCACTTTTGTCTTCCTATTATTCCTCCTTAAGAAATTTGCTTAGCAGTTTCTAAACTGTTCTGCTGTATAGTGGGACTGCGAGTGGAGACTGCCAGGTGGGACCCAGGTGGGTGTTGGGAAAGTTCTTTGGGATCATTTGGAATGTAAAGCATAATGTTCTGTAAGGAATTAGTAGTAGGGCACACATTATTAATAATAATAATAAACTTTATTTTATATAGCTCCTTTAAATGTGGCTTCTCACATCACTTTATATCGCGCTTTTAATTATATCGACCAATTAATTGTAAATGGCTTGGTGACTGGTGTCTGTACACTGCCATAAAGCTACAATTTTTCCTGCAAAATAGAAATCTCTTGGAAAAGCTTTTCAGTTAAAACAAAATGGCTAAAATATCATTACTAAATCACCCACAGAATTGTGTTTCTGCAATAAGAAAGGAACATATTGAATTCAAAGATAGATGTTTTAATAGATGTTTAGCATAAAATATTTAAAAACTATTACCTTGGCAACATCTGTGTTAAAAGGCTTTCTGCTTTCTTTTTCTCTTCCAGAAGTTGGGCAGTGCGCTCGTTCACAATGTCCTCAAGGTTGCTGGCGTACTGCTCCATACGAGACAACAGGTTGTCAAGAATGTTGTCACTCCCTCTGTCAAGATGAAAAAATATTTCAGTAAGAAATAAATGGTTCTTACAAGACACAGTCTGGTGGAATTCTGCATAACAGCAGTTGTTTTTGCAGTTTTAAAATAGCCATATCTGGATGCTATGAAGTAATGAACCTGAAAGAAAATAGAACACTGTGTAACAAATATGTTAATCCCCCTCATTAAAACCTGCAAAAATAAAGCCAAATACTTCAGGACTTATTGCCAAGAGGCAGCAGAAATTGTTATCTGGCCACATACAGTAGATATGAAGTGCTATTAAATGAAGGAAGTGACGTGGAGATCCATTGATACAACATGCTGTACTGTAGTTTTTTGGTTTGGTTTCAACTACTGTACATCTTCAATTGAAAACTCAAGTCATTAACCCCAAAGCAGGTGTTAATAGTACTGCACAGTACAATGAGGCAGGAATTCAGTGACCTACAACTGCTGTATTTTATGACTGTGTAGTTGTGACAAGGGTCGGGTAAAAGAAAATTAGAAACCAACAAGCTGCTTGTCGGAGGTCTCTATTTTTTTAGGTCTGTACTTACACGTAAGGGCTTAGCTTCTTAACAGTTGCTTTCAATGAAGTAAAGTCGGGTCTCTCGGAGGGCCTCTCCCTCCAGCAACTCTTCATCAGCATCGCCAGAGGCCCGGGACACTCAGTTGTGTCGGTATAGGGTCTGAAGCTATTGCTTCCTCCCTCTTTTACCTTCTCTATAATCTCTGCAACATATTCACACTACTGAACGCAAGTGAAACCTTTAGGCAGTAACCATTTAACATTCATTTTATGCAATACATTAAATACTGTGTATCTCTGGGCACTTATACAGTATATTATATCCATTACTTGCACGGCATAGATTCTTATGCATTCATTGAATTTAGTTATTATCAGGAGATCACATACTGGTATTACAGTATATGTCATTTAAAAAACTCTTATGAAATCTGGAGGAAACTAGAAAACAATATACTGTACTTTTCACAGGACGTGCTCCTGTTGTCCTGTTTCATTAATGGTATTGTTGCATTAATATTTCAATGTTTTTAAATACATACAGTATTACTTCAAGAGAACAGAGCAAAGTCTGCATTGCCACTGTCTTTTATAATTACATTTCTGGGTGACATTACTGTAATTATTCACATAGCCTGACACATTTTGAGGTTTCTTTCCAATGTATATCACATATATAATATAATAAGTAAAAATAATGTGGCAGGAACAAATTATCATGCTTGTGACAGGATGTGAGCTCATGGGGACATGAACAGGATGCAGCTAGTGACAATGGCTGCTGGTTGACATCCAAACTGGTGCTCCCTTTCTGAAGGTGTGTAAGGTAATCTGGGAAAGGGCCATGTAAAATGAACTACTGCAGCTGAAGACTGGAGCCGCTGGAAGAGACGGAAATTTAACAATACTACCATAACAGTGCCATTAATTTAATGTACTGTGTGAAACAGTGTCCATCTGCCTTCCTGCTCACTGACTTGCTGTAGCAATATTCTGTACGTGGACTGTGGAGAGCAGCATTAAGCACGTTTGGACCTGGTAAGTACAAGGATATGAGATCTCTAAGGAAAATTAGACTGCTTCTGTAAGAGAACCTGCTGGACCAGTAAGTAGCACTTTTCCATGTGGACCAGAATTTCCAGTCTAATGCTCCAGAGGCCATCCTTCAAATGAGACAGAGATCTTGACAAGTTAAGTCTTTAAATATCTAATGGCATTTCTTCCACAGGAGTAGGGGTGTTAAGCCCAACAATTCAACAGAACTGATTTCTAACTTCTTTACATGAAAGAGATGCTGTGTAGGGAGCCTGCTGGGCCATACTGTAATAACTGCAGCTTGTCACTCAGTGACAGATGTTGTACTTCATTGGCAGATTGGAATCCCATATGAAAAGTGTTTTGAGATCCCTTGTGATGAAAAGTGCTACTGTATATAAATGCAAATAATCAAAAATTATATTACAGTTATATCAAATCAGCAATTAGAAATGGATAGAAAACCCAAACACTTCTTTTCTGGCAAAAAAAGACCATTCCAATGCTATGTCTAATCACTGAGAGTGCTCTTTGAACTTGCAAACTATTATTTTCTTTACATGTTTTCATTCTGTACCCCCTCTGTATTTAAGCATATTCCAAGGTTCACTTTGATAAATATGTGTTTAATACCGTTTGCCTTCAGAACACAGCTAGGGATGAAGAACACTCCGTTGCGATACACAATTTCTTGAGCTATGATTCCAAAACTGTACACATCTCCTTTTTGTGTTCCATTTGTAGGCATATTACCCCTCAGCAGTTCAGGTGCTCTCCACAGCAAGCCTGTAATGGGACATACCACTTTTTACAAGCTATACTGTATGCAATAAATAAAACAATAGATGACAAAAGACAACAGATGTCCGTCCAACCAATTTCCAAAAGTTGCTTATTCCTGCTAAAATTCATACAGGCCTAGAGCCTATCCCAGGAGCTTATCCCAGAAGGCAAGACTACAGCCTGAACAGGACATCAGTCTGTGACAGGATAAACACTGATTTACCCACCCAATGTGTTCTGGAGCAACCAGTGAAATTTAACTGAACAGAGGACGATGATGAGGAAGACGCCTCAGTCCCCAGTCAAACCCAGAACACATGAAGCACCTTTTCCCCATTAGCAAAAATCTGTACTGTAGCACATTTATTAAATTACCACACCACCGTCCTGGCATTTATATTGAAATTGTTTTGTATCTATTCTACTCATGCACAAATACATACAAAGATATAAAACATCGGCTTCATCTTTGGCCCACACAGGCTTGCAGTGGAAGGAACGGTTTTTGTTGATTTAACTTACACTGCCAGTGCTCTTTGCTGTTCTGAATGCCAGCTGTATTGGGGCGTCTGAGGTTGCTCAGGCCGAAGTCTGTGATTTTTAAAACAAACCTGCTGTCTACCACACAGTTTGAAGAAGAAAGATGCCCATGTGACCGCAAATAACTCTTGTGAATGTAGTCCATTCCCTGAAGGAAACAAAAATCGCAATGAAGCACCTGAAGATTATGAAATGGTACAGTTAGGACTTACATACATTTACACACATACTGTACTTACAGCATTTAGATGTAAGAACAAAAATGTCTGTGTATGAAAACTAAATGTATTTTAAAAACAAAAATAAAGGGAATGAAACATTTGATTTTATGTATTAATTTTCTAAACAGCTTTATCTAGTTAAGGTTGCAGAATTCATTTAATCACCAAATTAGTTATACAACGTTAATCGAAATGTCTGTCAGACTTCACACACTAGTTAGCTAACTCAATTAAAGCAACTTCCTTACAGAGTATTATCAGCAGTTATAACTATTTATAGCGCTGATGAGAGGAAAGTCTTGATCACATTTCAGGAATGACCCTAGGAGTGCACTGAAAAGGAAATTAAGAATGGCATGATGAAGGTCATGAATGTATATTCAACAATCCAATGAAAAGAAGTAGAGAGCAAAGAAGGTATGATAACTGCAAGATAAAATCTGAATGCATCCAGATCTGTAAGTCTATGAAGATGCACATCAGAGAAGTATCTTTAAATGGGTATGAGGAGCGATGGAAGGTGGCAGAAACATGAAAAAAACAATAAAGCCATAGTCTCACAACATGACGGAGGAGAAGGCCACAGTCAGAAACAAATATCTGACTGCCAAGAAAACATAATACTTTTACAAGAAATTATGTAATGTTCAAAATGTCAGGAGCATGTGTAAGAAAGTGCAAATAAAGAGTAAAAAAATACCATCACCCCATAAGTTTGTATTTCTCAGAAAAGCAAACTCTGAAAACATAGTAGGTGTCACGAACCGCACTCCCGCGTGAACCTCTCGGCGTCAACACCTGCGCCCTACTTAAGCAATTAGTACTGCTCACGCCCTTTTTACCCATTTATACCCATTTATACCCTCTCTCTCTTCTCCGTCCTCACTCACTGTTGAGATCGACTTAGCCTTTCTCCTGTGCGCGTACTTTACTGAACTGACCGACCCTGCTCCGTCCCCGGCTTCATCTTCGTTTCTGTCCAGTGGCTTTTGGATTTGGATACCGTACCGACCTGACTACCGGGAATTGTTGCTGAAGTGCAGTCATTACATATCCAGTGCACTCTTTTCATACTGAGGTCCCATAATGCCAGATTTGTAAACCAAATCTGGTTCTTTTTCCTGTGGCAAGCCCATCAGACAAACATTATCCTGTCTTGACTAATCTTCCAGCTTGACCAAGTTGCTTTCCAGAATCTCCAGCTTTTGCTGCATGATTATTCAGTATCTATTTTTATGCCTGTTGTTCACCAGGCCATCTTGGAGGCTAATTGGGCTCAAACCAAATAAAAACAATAAAGCAAATGAAATGAATTGCTTAATTTGAATTTGTCAGTCACAACTTTTTTCTGACGGCTTTATGTTCATGAAACTTTTAGGCAACTTAAACACTGTAAAACTACCTTCACTATGTCCAACATTAAAGAATACTTGAACATCCAGTCAAGTTTAATCGAATCGTTTTTCAGAATATCCTGTAAAAAACAAAATGAAAGAATCAATATTCCACTTATGAATAAGGTAAAGAAACCACAATGAAAGAATATTCAAACCAACATAACACTAGAAGTATAAAAAATTAAACACCTGCAGACTTCCTTTGGGGCAATATTCAGTCAACAAGCAGTGATGAGGGGACTCCAAACAAGCTCCAATGAAGCTACAGACATTAGGATGGTTCAAATCTCTGCACTGCAAAGTAAATAAAAAGAGATTGACTTATTTATGTTTAAGTAGTATAAAATACTGAGATATTGCAACCAAAGAAGTAATTTCAAAATGAGAATTGATATAATGTTATTCAATTATCTGTTTATGAGCTATGTTTCATTTTTTGCCATATTATGCACTTTTGAATTGATCTTCACAATGATTCTTAATGATTCTTAAACACACAGTTGTCTCAAGAACTACACATGGATCACATCCCTAGTTAATATACAGTACATCCGCAATACACTCATCAGATCTCCTCTGGTCTAGGGTGTTTGATTAATATGTTAAAAGATGAGTCAGTGAGGCCTAGATTTCCTCATTCTCCCCTTTGTGTAACTAGGAGGTTTGTACTGTAGTTGCAAGTTGAGATGTGGAAAATGTACATCTGGGTGTGTGTATAACAACAATACATGGCAATTCTAAATATTTGGGGAAAAATGAAAATCAGTTTAAAGGTATGAAATTACTGAATGTCCTTTAGCCCTTGATACATTTTTCTAGACCGTACAGTATCTCCTTGGTCACTTACCTGCCTGAGCTCGTTAATTAATTCATTATTCAGATTGATACTTTTCACATGCAAGAAGCGAATGGAACAGATGTTCTCCTAGAAGACAGAGAGAGAACCTGAAAGCAGACATTTACTTAGCGCTCACAGTCTACAAAGGAATCGTATGGTTTGCGCGAATCAAAATCTTCATAAAGACTAGAATACTTACTTTGTACATTGCGGCTTTTGTAAATAAGAAATCACTCTGTGTATTTTCACTTTCACTGATGGCTTCTAAGGAATCAGATGCTGACTTCATGGTATAATGAGAGACCTTTAAAAAACAGCAAAAAGTTTAATCTTATTCTATCTGCAGATTGCTTATCTAGTAATTGCAACATAAAATTATTTTTTACAACACAATAACACAAAATATTAAACATGAAGGAGATTCATTCTTAGGAGCATGTTAACAGATTCTGTAAAATATGGCTTTGATCATTTCATGTTGTTATATTTCTTAGCATTAAGGATAAGGAATTAGCAGACATTCCAAGAAACTTACAACAAATAAGGGGCCAGTAATGACTACAGAGGACATCACTTACTGATACTTGTAACACAGATTTAAAACACAGTATTTCTTCAAGTGCATTTACAGTATAAGCATAGTATTAACCACCTTGGTATATCAATCTTGTGTAGTATGTTACGGGTGCTGATTATTCAATGATGAATAAGTAAATAATACAAAATAAGTTGTGGAATCTGAATATTTAAGATAAATATTAAATATTAATACAATACGAAACAGTTATAGTGTTATAATTCTAGGTACATTATACTGTACGTGTAACCCCTTAAAAAGATCTCAAGTTTATAAAACAAACAGCCCATACATATGACAAGTTCTGAACTCCAAACAACCTTGTAATCTATTGCGCCCAGAAACTTCCTGTACGTGTGTCATAGCTACATCATAGCTAGCTAGCAAAGTAAATCAGTTTAGAACTTCTATCGCCCAAAATACCATCACCAGTAAATAAGCACGCAGGCCTGAGTCAGTAATACTCTTGAATTGTCTTGATTTTCTGTAAGGGTGGATATCTCCACACCTGGAGAGCTGCCGTCCCTACAGAAGTATCTTTAAACCAGCAGCATCTTAAGAGCTGGAAGATTAAAAAATTAATTAAAATGGAGGTTTTAATAAAAAAGGTCAAAGGGATGACAACAACCAAGGTCTCCTTCACTTCTGCTACTCTACTTCATCATTTTCCTGGTGTCACTTCCTGAAAAACTATAATACGTCCTTCATGCCTAGCTTCTGCATCCCTCCTACACCCTATCTCAGACGTCCCTTGGTTAACACTGTTTGGGTTGACTAAATTCCTCATCCAGCAGTCAGGAGATTGGCCCTCAACCAAGCAGGTTAAATACCTTATACCTAACTTCTCAATAAACATCCAGAAATGCTTTTTTCTTAATGAGCAAGGCTATTCCTTTTGTGCATACAAAGTCAACCCCCCCGCCTCCCCAGGACTGGGGGTCAGCATACCTACTCTATGTTATTTATAATTGTTTGAAATAGAACTTACTTGCACTGCTGCTGTTAATGCAGAATGTCTGGGTTGACAGTCCACAAGATAACAAATAGTAGGTTTCAAGAGAAGGGCTGAATGGCAGCATTTGTTTTAACAGAGACCTGATAAGTTTTTAGTTTTAATGGTTCTCCCTGTGCTGACAAAGAAATTAACCAGACTGGTTAGCTGTCGAGCTACTGGGTGACTTATGCTCACACTTCTCTTTGTGTCAGGCTGTTTTTTTTTTTGTTTAAACACTACTATACAGTAATGGAATTGGACAAACGCCCCCTGAACATTGACAGTTGTTTAGAATCCTGGAGAAACAGCCAGCCATGTCAAACCCTACCTTGTAGACTGATGAATTATGCTTCGTCTCCATCATGCTCACTTCACTGAAGTTGACCTTCCAGAGCATCAGAGAGGCCTTCTCTTGAAGTTTGTATTTCCTAGAACACAACTGCCAGCTAGAACTTAAAAGTGCCCAAATGCACAAAGCACGCTACATTTTAAAGATGTAACACTTGTTAATGTGATTATGTTTATGTTAATGCTCATGAGTGACTTAAAATCTCAATGTTAAAAGATTGGGATTGGACTGCGAATCACACATTTGAGGCACATCAAGTTACTTCAGAAATATTGTCCACTTCACACCCCGTTTCACATGGCTTGGAACTTTCTTGGACACTTTGGATAGTTTCAGTGTTTTAGTACAGGTGAATTCCATAGGCACACCTTCATCAGGTTTCAAGGAAAAGTCCAGGAAACCAAACCGGAGGTACCAGAGGGGGACTGACTTCAATGAATCCTCTCTAACACTCGGGTAGTGCCACCTTCCCCATGTTTCCATTGCTTGTAGATTTACCACAAAGTAAAGCAGATTACATACAGTACAAGGCTTTCTATCCTCCATATTTGTGGGGTTTGTTTGTTGATTGATTTGATTGTTACAGAACAACTTGACAGCTTTTTTTTGGGGGGTTGGGGGGTGACACCTTGTTGTTCCAGTAAAGAAGTTTGTCATTCTCTACAAAATAATTAAAAAAAAATAAAAAAATCCAAGAGATGTAAAGGTTATGAGTGCAAAAGATATGTAATAAATCCATTAAATTTAAAATAATTTCTAATATTGCATGCTTTGTCTAAAACCTAATGTTCAATTTCAATTTTTGTTTTACTTAAAATGTCAAAGCTGAAACAAGTACTGTATGAATCAAGCACAGTTCTTCATATTTCTTTGGCCTCTTACTGTATCTCAGTATAAAGAAATACTATAGCTTTGAGGATTAGCTACCACTCGATGGCAGTATTACCTTCTTAATTACTTTTGTCTTTCATGTTACCAAGCAACTGGAAACAGCTGAGCTACTGTACAGCTCTCGTAGAGGAGAAAGTGAGCAAGTAGTTTGTGAAGCTTTACAGAACAATCAGCCAATCATTGTGCTTCATTTTTTAGTTTAA